TTCCCTACAAAATTTGATCCTCTTGCCTTTCAAGCACACTTATTGATCCCCTTTATTGTGGATAAGATTGTCTAAGGACGGATCAAATTTCTCCTTTCTAGATTCCAGTTCCCCTGTTGTCTTCCGTGTTTGTGTAAAGCTTGCACGGTGGGACAGGTTCCTTGTTGCACTCTGCAGAGTTACACCAGAGAGGAATCTGTCCCATAAGCTGCTTCTCTCCAGTCACTTTGTTCAGTAACTATTTTATAAAACACAGGAGTATGTTGGAAGGGACAGAATAGCAGAGGAGAGGAAGTTTTGCATACCTCTTGGTCATTTCCACTCTGTTAGGCCAGCTATGAACTGAAGAGCTTGAGCTGGGAATGCAGGCAACTAAAAAATGTACGCAGTGATGTGTGGAGATACGATGCTGCTCTTGAAAACCTGGCAGCCATGCTGTACGTAGGCATTTGCCTTGTTCTGTGACCTTATCATATCCTGTCAGCGGGACATAATTTGAGTTGAACTCTTGGGTGAGTCTTCAGTGGCACTGTCGCATGTGTGGCAGCGTCTTAACTCACTGACCACGAGCAGTACAGAATGTGAATGTCACTTTGTGAACCTTAAATTTTCAGTGCTTCATCAGCAGAGCTTCTGTTGAAACAGCTGTGATAAAGCAATGGCTATTAGCAGTCCTTTAATTTTAAAAAAATGTATTTAAGTTTTATTGTGAATATTGTAGTATTTTTTTATTGTTAAATGTGAGATGTTTTGATATTACTTGCAAAGTCAAATGAACAAAGCATTGCTAATCTCCAAAAATCTAAAACCACTTAGTTGGTGGGAAACCTGTATATATCATATGTTTTTATGTTTCTATGCTCTTATTTACCCAAAGGTTCTGGCTGTATGAAAGAGGAGGACTGAAGTGTGGGAGTGGTGCATGTAATTGACAACAACATTTGAGTTAATGTTGGAATGGGCTGATTTTTTTTTAGATGTCCAGATACTGTCCATTTGCTAATAAAAAAAAATGCAGTTAACTTCTTTTTTCTTTTTTTTTTTTTTTCTCCTGCCCCAAACTGCTTCTCGTTCTGACTGCCGTTTGAATTGGGTGGGACTGTGGATTGTTTCTAGCTATTGCAGAACTGGCTGTGTAGTCCAGAGCAATGGACACCTTTGCTGAGTGTTTGGTTAGTAAGCCTTTAGCTGGTCTCTAAGAAAGGAGCATATGCATACATGGGTCATGTTTACTTCCACAGGTAATTTGTCAGGGATTTCTGCACTGATAAACTGCCCAACAGGATGTGTCGTTCTCTTGCTGTTTCCTTGCCTGCTTTCGTTTCCATTCCTAACAAGTCCACTCATAGACCAGCGTGTAGAGTAATGCTCTCTGCCAGCATTTGATGTTTCATTTTGCAGAGCTCTGCTGAGAGTTCTGATATTTCATACCTTGACTCATTTTTACCATTCTTTTCTCTCGTAGCTACACTTTACTGCATTTGTTCCTTTTTGTGTACGGTATGTTTTAGCAGGCATACTCTATGGCAGCTCATTTCAGATGGCTTAATATACAGTGTGTATTAAAGCTTACAGTATCCACGAGTGGGTTATGATTTCATCAATCTGTTGGAGAGAATAACAGGCGCTCTCTGTAGGCATGTGATTGTAACAGACTTACTTGATTCTCCCTTTCCTTATTCTCTGAGACCTTTGTACAATACAGTAATAGCCAGACTTCCATTCCTGATTTTGTCTTTTTCTAAAAACAGTTTTTCCTATGTCAGTGGGCCTCACTTTCCTTGTTTTCCTGAAGCTCTGAATGTCCCTGCGCATTTCTCACTAGAAAAGGCCTTTGCAGTTTGTTTATAAATGGCCTTTTTGGGTTAAGACGATATTTTTTTGTTCAAGATAGCTCTTTCAAAGCAGCAGCTATCTACCTGCCAAACACAGCCAGAGCAGTCCCCTCGTGATTGCAGAGGATGCTTCCCATATATGGGCTTTTTCCCTTTCTCCCTGAAAGCAGTTGTCCTCGGACTGCTGTATGTGTATGCTAACCAGACAAGACCAGGAAATTCTTCTACCTGCTACTGTGTAAGTAATATGTGGTTCTTCTGATTTTTCTCTCTAGCAACAGTGAGAAGTGGAGGTTTTTGAACCAGAGCAGCCTCCATCTGCAGCAAAGCATCATAGCTTGCGAGCAAGGGGGAATGCATTTTGCTTATGGCACATTACTGCAGAATGTCTGCAAGCAAAGCATGATCAGCTCTTACAGATAAGGCTGGAAGGAAGGGCATCTGAACCTGTACTTACGCAGACACCTAAGAGCTCTGTTGTTAGCGTAACAACCTGATTTCTTGTCGCCCACAGCCCTGGTGAAAACAGGGCAGTTAAATAACAGCTTGTTAAAATCTGAGGCAGGCTGCAGAGACATTTGTGTTCTATTTTTTAAGCAGTTCTGGGAAACTAGACTCCCTGTCTAGTGGGCTGATACTGCCCAATGTAAGGCCTTGGATGAGGTGAGCAGAAATAGTTTTTGACTTTGTCCTCCATGCGTTCATGCCCAAGTTCCCGCGTTACATATGCCACTCTCGCAGGAACTCGCCTGTGAGGCAGCTCCTGCCTGGGAGAAGGACTGCGCGTGTGGTCTGTGTTTCCTTCCGAGACATGGCTCTGATAACAGTTTGAACTGCTGGATTCCCAAACTTAATTTCATCACTTGATATGGAGCCAGCCATTGACTACAGCATGCTCTAGGTGCTGTAATTTATAACGCGTACTAAGCATTCCAGTTTTTGCTCAGGCTTTGCTATTCTTTGTATTCCTAGTAGCAGCAGACTCCCAGATGGGATCCCTGTGGCACAAGCGCCTTGCTGTCGGGCACCTTTTTTTGCCTAGGGCAGAAAGTACAAATGAAAGCCTTGAAAAGCCATTGCTGATGCATGAGCAACCACAGAATCCAGCCTGCTCCCTTCCAGCCAGGTACAAAGCACTTTGCATTTGCAAATGTGCAAACTGAGCACACGGGAAAACGTGTTCGCACAGCAGCTTGGCTTGAATACTTTGCTATGATGCAACCCACAGCAAACTTGCAGCAGAAGAGAAGTGAGTGAATGTGAAAGGGAGTAAAGCAAGGGAGCTGGAGAGATTTTCATGATGGCTAACTGACCCAGCTGTTGGTGGCAGGAGAGTGCAAGAGAAGGAGGTCTTTCCTAAGAGTCTGAAAGTGCAGTGCTCTGGGAGAGATGTCCTATGTGTGGGGCTGTGCCAAAGAAGATGCTCCTGAGGTGGTTTATGTGCAGGCCCAGGCTACTCGTTCCAGGAGGCTGCTTTCGGCTCTAGGCTGTCAGTGCAACATCAGATCAGCTGCGAGTCGGTGGTTGCAATGTCTTAGCTGATGGGCAACCTGTGAGTTAGGAACACAGGGCATTGCAGATCCTCTATATAGTTGTGCCTAGAGATGTTCATGTACCACAGCCAACGTTTTTGAAAGCTGAGCGTGTCTGAGCATTGGTGTCATTCTCAGAGAGAGCACTGGGAGATAAATCACAAGGCCTGCTTTTGTAGCCTGGCACTTCCACCATGGTGCTTTCATAAAAGAAAGGGTAATTTTGTGTGCATCCCTCTGGCTTTGCAGGAGAGAAAAAAAGAAGAAAAAAAAAAAGGCGCCTCCCACGTGCCTCGCCCGGATCCTTCTCGTGTTGCAATCTGCAGCGGGGAGAAGCGCTGGCTCAGTGCTTTCGCTTTCGGCACCGCAGGCAGTTCTGCCTCTGCTCTCAATGATCCCGTTCCCTTTGTACTGGCAAGCAGCAGCATCCGCATGGGCCTTGCTAGCCCTTCGTCCTCCTCCCCCATCGAGGGGAGGCGTAAGGCAGCTAATACTCCCTGCTTTCATGGAGACCTGGTTTAATGCCAGATTCCTACCTGATCGCCCAAAAGGGTTGATGCGCGGCCTTGCCTATCGCCTGCCTGCGGCGACCCGGCTCGGACGTGGTTTTGAGCGGCCCCCCCCACCCCCCTTC